AAACTATAATAGCTATAGCATATAGAAAACTGGCACAAGTCGCACTCGAATCGACTTCCTTGTCCAAAATAATAAATAAATTGGTGCAAATTCTTCATCAACGTTGATAAAAACATAAACAATCATACAAAAATAACGTCAAAACTATATTAAATCTATGATCTTATATGATCAATAAACAAATGAAAATGTCATTATTTCATAACCTACTCTAATATGATACATGTTAGTATAGATATATAACCTAACCTAATAATTAATCACTTATATCAATTATAAAACTTGTATAGTTTCAGAAGATTCCTGTTTTTTTTATATACATTTTCGTAGAAAAAAAGTCATCAGAATTAAGTCTTAGTTTCATAACAAACTTTTATAATTTATATAAAATTTCTTAGAAAATTACACAATGATTTATTAAATTTTGATAACAAATTACAAATTGTACACTTTATTATTAAAGATTTACACTAATCTTATTTTTTATAAGTTAAATTTTAATTTAAGTTTTTAATTAGTAAATGCATTGATTTTTTTCTTATTTTAAGTATAATTACATCAATTTTAATAGGAAAATACACTTTGTAATTGTCTCCTTAAATTAAGCTCATTCTTTATAGTTTTTGTTTTATTTCAAGTATAAATACAAAGAAGTAATATTCATAGTTTTCGAGAAATACACTAAAATTTTAAAACATTTTAACTACAATTAGTTCAAATTTAATAGCAAAATACAAGAAATCTATGACCTTTTCCATTGTGCCATTAAATTTTGTTACTTTTCCATAGTTTCAGTTTAAATCTAACTATAAATACAAAGATATAACTTTCATAGTTGTTGAGAAATACACAATAATGTAAAGACTTTGATGTTACCATATCTTAACAATAATTAGTTCAATTTTGAGAGCAAAATACATACAATACAAGAAATCTATAACGTTTTTCATTGTGCAATTAAATTTAGCTAATTCTCTATAGTTTCAGTTTGAATCTAAGTATAAATACTAAGATAAAACTTTCATAGTTGTTGAGAAATACTCTAAAATGTAAAAACATTGATGTTTCTACATCTTTTTGAATTTTGATAGAAAAATACAAGAAATCTATAACTTGTTTCATTATGTCATTAAATTTAGCTAATTTTCCATAGTTTCAGTTTGAATCTAAGTATAAATACAAAGATATAACTTTCAGAGTTCTTGAGAAATACACTAAAATGTGAAGACATTGATGTTTCCACATCTAAACAATAATTAGTTCAATTTTGAGAGAAAAATACAAGAAATCTATAACGTTTTTCATTGTGCCATTAAATTTATCCAATTCTCTATAGTTTCAGTTTAAATCTAAGTATAAATACAAAGATATAACTTTCATAGTTGTTGAGAAATACACTAAAATGTAAAGACATTGATGTTTCCACATTTTAACAATAATTAGTTCAATTTTGAGAGAAAAATACAAGAAATCTATAACGTTTTTCATTGTGCCATTAAATTTATTCAATTCTCTATAGTTTCAGTTTAAATCTATGTATAAATACAAAGATATAACTTTCATAGTTGTTGAGAAATACACTAAAATGTTAAGACATTGATGTTTCCACATCTAAACAATAATTAGTTCAATCTTGAGAGAAAAATACAAGAAATCTATAACGTTTTTCATTGTACCATTAAATTTAGCTAATTCTCTATAGTTTCAGTTTGAATCTAAGTATAAATACAAAGATATAACTTTCATAGTTGTTGAGAAATACACTAAAATGTAAAGACATTGATGTTTCCATATCTTAACAATAATTAGTTCAATTTTAATAGTAAAATACAAGAAATCTATAACGTTTTTCATTGTGCCATTAAATTTAGCTAATTCTCTATAGTTTCAGTTTGAATCTAAGTATAAATACAAAGATATAACTTTCATAGTTCTTGAGAAATACACTAAAATGTAAAGACATTGATGTTTCCATATCTTAACAATAATTAGTTCAATTTGAATAGCAAAATACAAGAAATCTATGACCTTTTCCATAGTACCATTAAATTTTGTTAATTCTTTATTGTTTCAGCTTAAATCTAAGTATAAATACAAAGATATAACTTTTATAGTTGTTGAGAAATACACTAAAATGTAACAATAATTAGTTCAATTTTGATAGCAAAATACAATAAACCTATAAACTTTTTAACTGTGCCCTTGAATTTAGCTCATTCTCCATAGTTTCAATTTGAATTCAAGTATAAATACAAAGATGTAATATTCATAATTCTCAAGAATTGAAAAACTGATACAAGTCGAATCTTTGTTATTCGCAAATTGCGAATCGAAAAAAGTGTGTCAGTGTCAATGCGCGACGCTTGAGGCGAAGGCGTGGCGGAGCAAAAGAAGTCCAAAAATGTCCAGAAAGAAAAAAATAATGAGACGTACGTAAATATCAAAGAGAATTGAAAGAAAAAAAATAAAACCTAATTATAATTGAGGACAAGCGGCGGCGTATGCACTTGGCATATTCGATGCAGCCGTTTCGTAAACCGCATATAATTATTGAATCGATTCTCGAACATATATACACTTGTTCACTCGTAATATTCGAATTTAGAGTGTATAGAGTGCAGAGAGGTAAAAGCGAGTGAACTTTGAAATTTTGGCCCAAATTCAATGCTCATCTCATCCACATATCTACACTATACACTAGATACAAAAACAACCACTCTCTCGATGCGCTTTTAAAGTTTACACTCTGCAATCAACTAATGCATCGAGTGGATGATGCCTACCACTACTATTCCTCCACCTGAGCCTTTCAATCTCGAAAAAGGCAACAAAAATAACAACTAAAGTTATGAAAATGTTGACTAATTAATTAGGTTCTACGTTCGAGTTTCTATTTGCCCTAAATTTAAGGGTGTTTCTGTGTGAGCTTTTGAAACTATAAATATTTATGGATGCGATTGTTTCCCTAAGAAAGAAAAAACCCATAAATTTATCAAGAAGTCTTTGCGAAGGAAATAAAAACAAAAAGGAAGAAAGAAAACTGCACACTCGATGCAAACAGCCATAATGGATGTGTTTTGCCCTCCCAGATTCAATCTGCACAACTTTTCTATGCACATTGTTATTCCGAAGATCCACTTGAATGTTCACATTATTTTTACTCTACAATTCAATTTATCGTTCAATTTTGATAACGAATTATAAGAAAATTGAATACTTTATAGTTACGCATTTAGATTTAGTTTGTTCTGTATAGTTTTAGCTTTAATTTAAGTGTAAATACGTAGATGTAAAGTTTGTAGTTCTTGGGAAAAACTTTAAAATGTAAAGATATTAATTTTAATAATTAATTAGATTTTGATAATTAATTACCAGTAAACTGTGTACTCTATAAGTATTTATTTATAATCATCTTATGCACCATAATTTCAAGTTTAATTAAAGTATAAATATGGCATTTTTGATTCTTTGAGTTATATCTAAAATGTAAATACATATTCTTTTGTTTCAATATTTGAACATGAATTAGTTCAATTTTTAATAGTGAATTACAAGAAATATGTGCACTTTATTAATATTTATTTGCATTCATCTTATTCTCTATAGTTTTAGCTTTAATTTAAGTATAAATATGTAAATGTAACATTCGTAGTTCGTGGGAAAATCTTTGAAATGTAAAGACATTAATTTTAATAATTAATTAAATTTTGATAATTAATTACCAGTAAACCGTGCACTCTATAAGTATTTATATATAATCAGCTTATATTCTATAGTTTTAGCTTTATTAAAAGTATAAATATGAGATTCTTGATTCTTTGAGTAATACCTAAAATGTAAATACATATTCTTTTTCTTTCAATATTTGAACATAAATTTTAATAGTGAATTACAAGAAATTTGTGCACTTTATTAATATTTATTTACTCTCATCTTATTCTCTATAGTTTTAGCTTAAATTTAAGTATAAATATGGCATTCTTGATTCTTTGAGTAATACTTAAAATGTAAATACATATTCCTTTTCTTTCAATATTTGAACATAAATTTTAATAGTGAATTATAAGAAATCTGTGCACTTTATTAATATTTATTTGCACTCATATTATTCTCTACAGTTTTAGCTTTAATTTAAGTATAAATATGGCATTCTTGATTCTTTGAGTAATACCTAATATTTAAATACATATTCATTTTTTTTTTCAATATTTGAACATAAATTGGTTCAATTTTTAATAGTGAATTACAAGAAATCTGTGCACTTTATTAATATTTATTTGCACTCATATTATTCTCTACAGTTTTAGCTTTAATTTAAGTATAAATATGGCATTCTTGATTCTTTGAGTAATACCTAATATTTAAATACATATTCATTTTTTTTTTCAATATTTGAACATAAATTGGTTCAATTTTTAATAAGGAATTACAAGAAATCTGTGCACTTTATTAATAATTATTTGCACTCATCTTATTCTCTATAGATTTAGCTTTAATTTAAGTATAAATTATTAGTTGCAACTTTTGTGGTTATTGAGAAACATATAATAGTGTAATTTTTAATTTTCTTTACTTTTGCTTTAAATATTTTTCATAAAAAAAGTTGACTTTTCACATAAAGTTTCATTTTAATTCAATATCATTAAGAAATCTAATCTAAAAACCCAAACTACATCCAATGTATTATCTAGCAATTTTCAGAGGAATGCAGAGAAAAAAAAAAGTGTTTGCAATTTGGTTGGGGCATATATTTTTGAGCGCGAATTTTAATTAAATTCTCAAATGAGGCTTTCGTTGCACGGAAAAATAAAATAATGTAAAGAACGAGAGAGAAAGAACGAAAGAAAGAAAGGAAATCATATTTTTG